TAAGTTCTGCTTGTAAGGTATCTTTGGTAGTGACCTTCTTTTGTGTCTCGAGGTCGAATATGTCGTCCAACAGAATTTCCAACTCTACTTTCCGGGCCATTTCACTCGGTCTGGACATAACATGACAGTTTATGCCCAGATTTAGGAGAGTGACTTGGTCCTCAGTGAGGTTAATTCCTGCAAGGTTCAGGAAGCCATCTCTTGGTCGTGGAATTGCCATAGGTCCTCCATTTAATGTTATGATGTCGAAGACATCATAAGAAGGAAAGTGAAAAGCCATGCAACCTCCGAAGAGACAACTAACACAACACCTATACCCCCAATTAGACTATTTTACAGGAACTTCTTTTCCACAGCTCATAAAACGGAGGAAAGGGTCCTGAAAGATATTGTTAATAGAAACGTTATCCCTACAGACAAAAATCAGAGGATACAACTGACGATTTACTATAAAACCAGAAAAACGGCCAGCCTACTCATGAGAAACTCTCCAGACACAAAACAGAACGCTTTAAAAGAGACTAACGTCGTCTATGCCTTCAAATGCCCACTTGGGGACTGTAAGCTCCAAAAAACCCAGTATATAGGCAAGACAACAACATCTCTTTCTAGGCGTTTAACGATGCATAAGCAACAGGGCTCCATTAAGGAACATATAATCTCTTCCCATAACCAAACCATCGCCAGAGAAATCCTAGTAAACAACACAGAAATCATCGATAGATACAGCGATAGCAGGCGGCTTGACGTTTGCGAGGCACTACACATCAAGAAGTCAACACCAGCAATCAACAGCCAATTATTGCACAACTATATTCTACCCACCTCAAGACTCCGCTCCAATATAGAAGCATCAAGAAATATGGACCAATAGGCTTTCTACAAACACTTTTATTCAATACCCATTGTTTCTGTTCTGTCTTGTGTTGATACTTTTAATACCCTATTAATATCCCCTATTGTTCTGTCTTGTGTTAATGCCACATCACCCTTCCCACCTCACTCAAATGTAGATATAAAATCAGAGAAGCGCAAGTTCTAATCAGTTGTGTATTTGTGAAGTCTTTGAAAATGTAATAAGTTTTACGAAACGCGCCCGTGTCGCGTCAGACTAGAAATAAAAAATGAATTTTGGAGAAGTGATTTTTGATTTACCTCCAACAGTGAAGCGTAATGTACGAAAGATTGAGAAAATTCGTGTTAGAATTATTAATCTTACTTTTTCGGTCATATTTAATAATATATATATATATATATATTAAAACGTTTAATATAAAATATATATATATATATATTATATATTAAATGTCAAGCCGCCTGCTATCGCTGTATCATCGATAGATACAGCGATAGCAGGCGGCTTGACGTTTGCGAGGCACTACACATCAAGAAGTCAACACCAGCAATCAACAGCCAATTATTGCACAACTATATTCTACCCACCTCAAGACTCCGCTCCAATATAGAAGCATCAAGAAATATGGACCAATAGGCTTTCTACAAACACTTCTATTCAATACCCATTGTTTCTGTTCTGTCTTGTGTTGATACTTTTAATACCCTATTAATATCCCCTATTGTTCTGTCTTGTGTTAATGCCACATCACCCTTCCCACCTCACTCAAATGTAGATATAAATCAGAGAAGCGCAAGTTCTAATCAGTTGTGTATTTGTGAAGTCTTTGAAAATGTAATAAGTTTTACGAAACGCGCCCGTGTCGCGTCAGACTAGAAATAAAAAATGAATTTTGGAGAAGTGATTTTTGATTTACCTCCAACAGTGAAGCGTAATGTACGAAAGATTGAGAAAATTCGTGTTAGAATTATTAATCTTACTTTTTCGGTCATATTTTAATAATAGATATATATATATATATATATATATATATATATATATATATATATATATATATATATATATATATATATATATGTCGTACCTAGTAGCCAGAACGCACTTCTCAGCCTACTATGCAAGGCCCGATTTGCATAATAAGCCAAGTTTTCATGAATTAATTTTTTTTTCGACTACCTAACCTACCTAACCTAACCTAACCTAACTTTTTCGGCTACCTAACCTAACCTAACCTATAAAGATAGGTTAGGTTAGGTTAGGTAGGGTTGGTTAGGTTCGGTCATATATCTACGTTAATTTTAACTCCAATAAAAAAAAATTGACCTCATACATAATGAAATGGGTAGCTTTATCATTTCATACAAAAAAATTCGAGAAAATATATGAATTCAGGAAAACTTGGCTTATTAGGCAAATCGGGCCTTGCATAGTAGGCTGAGAAGTGCGTTCTGGCTACTAGGTATGACATATATATATATATGTCGTACCTAGTAGCCAGAACGCACTTCTCTGCCTACTATGCAAGGCCCGATTTGCCTAATAAGCCAAGTTTTCATGAATTAATTATTTTTCGACTACCTAACCTACCTAACCTAACCTAACCTAACTTTTTCGGCTATATAACCTAACCTAACCTATAAAGATAGGCTAGGTTAGGTTAGGTAGGGTTGGTTAGGTTCGGTCATATATCTACGTTAATTTTAACTCCAATTAAAAAAAATTGACCTCATACGTAATGAAATGGGTAGCTTTATCATATCATAAGAAAAAAATTAGAGAAAATATATTAATTCAGGAAAACTTGCCTTATTAGGCAAATCGGGCCCTGCATAGTAGGATGAGAAGTGCGTTCTGGCTATTAGGTACGACATATATATATATATATGTCGTACGACATATATATATATATGTCGTATATATATATATATATATATATATATATATATATATATATATATATATATATATATATATATATATATATATATATATATATATATATGTCGTACCTAGTAGCCAGAACGCACTTCTCAGCCTACTATTCAAGGCCCGATTTGCCTAATAAGCCAAGTTTTCATGAATTAATATATTTACTATAATTTTTTTCTAATGAAATGATAAAGCAACCCTTTTCTCTATGTATAAGGTCAATTTTTTTTTATTGAAGTTAAAATTAACGTAGATATATGACCGAACCTAACCAACCCTACCTAACCTAACCTAACCTATATTTATAGGTAAGGTTAGGTTAGGTAGCCAAAAAAAGCTAGGTTAGGTTAGGTTAGGTAGGTTAGGTAGACGAAAAAACATTAATTCATGAAAACTTGGCTTATTAGGCAAATCGGGCCTTGAATAGTAGGCTGAGAAGTGCGTTCTGGCTATTAGGTACGACATATATATATATATATATATATATATATATATATATATATATATATATATATATATATATATATATATATATATATATATATATATATATATATGTATATATATCTTACATATATATCTTTCAAGGGTGAGTATCCAGTTAAGCTCGGGACTCTTTTCCTCCGGGAACCGGTGGCTTAGCGGACAGAACACCGGACGCGTGATCCTGTGGTCCCGGGTTCGATTCCGGGCGCCGTTGAGAAACAATGGGCAGAGTTTATTTTACCCTTATACCCCTGTTACCTAGCAGTAAATAGGTACCAGGTAGTTAGTCAGCTGTCACGGGCTGCTTCCTGGGACTGGAGACCTGGTCGAGGACCGGGCCACGGGGACACTATAGCCCCGAAATCATCTCACGATAACCTCTTCCCTTTATCCCAATCTCCCCTCTCACCTATCTAATTCCTTATCCCCTCCTTCCGATCTCCTCCTCTTCCTTTTCACTCCTCTCCTTCCTTCTCACTCCTTCCTCCTTCTGACCTTTCTAATCTCCTTCTTTTTCACCACTCTTCTCCCCTTCCTTCTCACCTCTCTTCTCTCCTTCCTCCATCTCACCCCTCTTCTCTCCTTCCTCCTTCTCACCTCTCTTCCCTCTTTCTTCATTCTCACCCCTCCTCTCTCCTTGTTCTTCTCACTCTTTTTCCCTCCTTTTTCATCCTTCTCACCCCTCTTCTCTCTTTGCCACCTCTCCTTCTCTATCTCTCACTCTCCCGCATCTCTCACGCTCTCCATCTTTGTCCCCCACCTCCCTTTCCCTCCTCTCACCCTTCCTGTCCCTTTCCACATTCTCTCCCACTCTCCCCCCTCTCTACTCTCCACGTGCCTTCCCCCTCTCTCCTCTCTACGTGCCTCCCCCCTCTCTCCTCTCTACGTGCCTTCCCCTCTCTCCTCTCTACGTGCCTTCCCCCCTCTCTCCTCTCTACGTGCCTTCCCCCTCTCTCCTCTCCATGTGCCTTTCCCCTCTCTCCTTTCCTCTCGTCAATCATCCGTCACCTTCTCTCTATCTGTCTGCTTTTATCTGTTTCTGTGTGTTGTTGTCTGCCTGCCCCTATTTTTCTGATTGTCTTCCTATCTCCCCCCCCCTCCCTCCCCTCTCTCTCTCTCTCTCTCTCTCTCTCTCTCTCTCTCTCTCTCTCTCTCTCTCTCTCTCTCTCTCTCTCTCTCTCTCTCTCTCTCTCTGCCCTGGTCGACCTCTCTCTGTCTCTCTCTCTGCACTCTCTCTGTCTCCTAGGTCGTCCCTGTTCGTCTCTCTGTCTCTGTAAGTCTTTGTCTCTGTACGTCTCTCTGTCTCTGTACGTCTCTCTGTCTCTGTACGTCTCTCTGTCTCCGTACGTCTCTCTGTCTCTGTACGTCTCTGTCTCTGCACGTCTCTCTGTCTCTGTACGTCTCTCTGTCTCTGTACGTCTCTGTCTCTGTACGTCTCTCTGTCTCTGTACGTCTCCCGGTCTCTGTACGTCTCTCTGTCTGAACGTCTCTGCCTGTGTACGTCTGTCACTGTACCTATCTCTGTCTCTTTCTCCTTTTGCATGTATCATTCGGTGTGTCTATCATGGCCTGGCTTTCATACAGACATTTATACACAAATTTATACACTCATTTGTGCACACATTTATGCACACATTCATACACTCCTCACTCCCTCTTACTCCCTCAGAAGTAAGGGAAAAGAAACAGGAAGGAAAGTGAAGGTCAGAAGTGAAGTAGCACTGTTTACCTTGTGGACAGCTCACTGACATTCCTCTTGCACTTCTCGTGTTCCTCTTCCATCAAGCGACTCTGTTGTGTTAATTTATTCTTTTCCTCTTGAATACTTCTGAGTTGCTGTGCCTGTCTGTTTTTATCACTCTGTAGAGCCGTGTTTCCTTCCCGTAACTTTCTGGCCTCTTCTTCAATGACGGAGAGTTGCTCTTCAACAAGTCTTTTCTCTCCTCCTATGTTATTATTCATCTCTTGCAGCTGTTGTGTCTCTCGCTCTAGCTCAGCGATCCTCGTCAACGCCGTCTTGACTCTCTCCTGGGCTTGAGTCTCTGCAAGCTCCAGCTGCCGGTTCCTCGTCTTGACCAGCCTCGAGTCCTCCTCCACTTGTCGGATCTGAGACTTTAATTGAATATTTTCCTCCTGAGCAAGGCGCACTTCGTTCATAGTCTTCATGTTGCCCTCTTTGACCAGCCTGGAGTCCTCCTCCACTTGACGGATCTCCTCCTTGACCAGCCTCGAGTCCTCCTCTACTTGACGGATGTCAGCCATTAGACGGCGATTCGCCTCCTCTGATAAGCGAACATCGTTCATAGTCTTCCGGGTTTCTTTCTTGAGCAACCTCAAGTCCTCCTCCACTAGACGTATCTGTGACTTTAATTGAATGTTTTCTTCCTGTGCAAGGCGCACTTCGTTCTTAATCTTCATGTTATCCTCCTTGACCAGTCTCGAGTCCTCCTCCATTTGACGGATTTCCTCCTTGACCAGCCTGGAGTCCTCCTCCACTTGACGGATCTGGGACTTTAATTGAATATTTTCCTCCTGAGCAAGGCGCACTTCGTTCTTAGTCTTCATGTCATCCTCCTTGACCAGCCTGGAGTCCTCCTCCACTTGACGGATCTCCTCCTTGACCAGCCTCGAGTCCTCCTCCACTTGACGGATCTGGGACTTTAATAAGACAATCTCCTCCTGAGCAAGGCGCCCTTCGTTCTTAGTCTTCCTGTTGTCCTCCTTAAGCAAATGATTCGCTGTATTTAGGCGAGTGTTTTCCTCCTTCAGCTTGAGGTTGTCAGCTTGGTGAGCCTTGTTGACACACTCCAGCTGGTCCAGAGTGTCCAGGAGGCGGCGGGTGGCGTTCTCCCTCTCCTTCACACCTGCCAACACATCAAATATTAAATATATACTGCTATATATATTACCACCACCCACAATTACCACTACTAGTATATATCAAATATATACTGCTGACCCTGAAAGGCACTCCAGCCCCTGAAGTACACTCCAGGAGCAGAAGTACATGCCAGGCCCTGACGTACACTCAAGAACGTGAAGTACACTTAAGAACCAGAAGTATACTGCATACCCTGAAGTACACTCCAGATCATGAAGTAGACGTCAGGCTTTGAAGTACACTCCATGACCAAAAGTATTCTCCTGTCTTTAAACTACACTAAAGACCCCTGAAATATATTAAAGTCCCTGAAGGACACTCAGGAACCTGAAGTATACTCCAGACCTTCAACTACATTTTAGACCCTGAAGTACACTGCAGACGCTGAAGCACATTTCAAGCACTGAAGTACAATTCAGGATTTGAAGTACACTCCAGGAACTGAATTCCACTCCAGATCTTGAAGAACACTCATGATCCTGAAAAACAATCCAGACCCTAAAGAACACTACAGACCCTGATGCACACTCAAGGACCTCAGGTCCACTCTAGACATTGAAGTACTCTCCAAGATTTGAATTGCACTCATGACCACGAAGAACACTCCAGACCCTGAAGTACACTTCATATCCTGAAGTACACTCAAGGATGTAAAATACACTTCAGACCCTGAAATACACGAAAGACCCTGATGTATGCTCCAGGCCCTGTAGTACACGAAAGACCCTGATGTATGCTCCCGGCCCTGAAGTACACTTCAGACTCTTATACACACTGCAGGACCTGAGGTACACTTTAGGCCTTGATGAACTAATCAGGACTTGAAGCACACTCCATGCCCTGAAGTACACTATTGGCCATGAAGTACACTATTGGCCATGAAGTACACTATTGGCCATGAAGTAAACTATAGGCAATGAAGTACACTCCAGGCCCTGAAGTAAACGTTTACGTTTACTTCAGGGTACACTCCAGGCGTGAAGTAGTGAAGTACACTCCAGGCGTTTACTAGAGTAAACGCCATGCCCTGAATTAACACTCAACGAAATGTACACTTTAAGTATTACAATACACCCCAAACCCTGAAGTACACTACTCAGCAAACAATTCATGTTGCCAAGACGTACCTGGGAAGTTTTTGAGAGCTGTGGTAACATTCGTTTTTAAGTAATCAATACATTTTGTGTGGAGTTGTAAATTAGTTGCCACAACTTACTACACAACGTATAGTTAAAAAAAACTGAGACCTTGTGACAACCTTAAATGCTGCATAAAAGTCGTTTCTATTATTTATCATATATATAAAAACTAAATATATACATAATATTAATTGAAATAAAACAGGAGCATAATAGAGGTTAGTTCACATTTTTATTAATTTCTTTATTTTTACTTAATGTAAAATCCGTTGTTGTGGTGGTTGGTGGCAGTGTTGGTAGATGGTAGTGTTTGGTGGCAGTGTTGGTTGAAAGTGGTGGTTAGTGGCAGTGTTGGAAAATCCCAGGAAACTATTTTAGTTTGCCACAACGTACTGGGACAGTGTTTGAAAGCAATGGCAACGCTTGTTTTCACATATTAGATACGTTATTGTGTGGAGTCATACATAGGTTGACACAATTTACTGTAGTAGTTGTGCATAAAAGTAGTTTTCGTGATTGATATCTATATAAATAAAAATGGAAATGCTCGTTTGTTCAAAATGGCTAATCTCCAAAAGTTCTTCACCGATTGCTTTTACATGAGGTGGGTGACAGTGTCCTAGCCTGGGCGAGTGGTGGAGCCCTGGGCAGCTACCCTGTGCTGCGCCTCCTGGCCCGTTGTTATGGCAACCGGGCTCAGTACCACCCTATCTTCTGTTGTGCTTGCTAATCCAAGTGATCTCCAAGCAATGGATCCTGAGCCCGCCGCCGAGGAATATGTTGATGCTCGAAGTCGGTTGCAGTCACCCGATGACATGGAACCCGATGCTGATCTGGATAACGGAAATGAGTAGCAGTTGCAACAATCACGGAATGCGAGAAGAAAGTCTAAACTTGCAGACTCTGCTGATGGCGATGAGGACATTGGCAACGATGACAGAAACACCGGAACCCGTGTGAAGACGGTGGAGGTGGGCGGTGGTGGGCTCACCCAGCCAGGGGCCCGCCCACCCAAGCCTCCTATTGCTCCCCGCGCTGACTATGTGCGCCTGGCATTCCCAGCTGGAACATCCACCAACGATAAACTTAAATGGTTCGAACAACTTTCTACTAGGTTCTCCAAAACACTCCTCGATATAGTCCGACCTAGACCAACATCCCCTTACATCTTTGTGTCACGTAAGCAGGAAGATATCATCACTCAACTGGTTAAAGGGGAGATTGCTAATATTGTTTTCACCAGAGAAGACATCATCAATCGACCTAAAAAACTTAAGGAATATATTGTTACCAGTTTTCCCAAAGAGTATCCTCTTGATAGAGCTTATACCCTTGACGGGGTCTATAAGGCAAGACGGATACATAAGGATGGTAAACCTCTCAACAGGATCATCATTGTTTGGAATGGCAGTGACCCTCCCCCTGAACATTACACCTTTTTTGGACATTTCATCCCATCAAGTCCTATAAAATCTTGGGTATCCCCCCCCCTGTTGTTTGTTATAAGTGCCATGGTACTCATCATATCTCTAGGTACTGTCAACATGACCCTGTGTGTGGGCTCTGTGCTGAACAGTACCAAACAAGGGAGTGTCCTCACCGGGACCCCCCTACCCTTGAGGATGGGGAGGAAGCCTCTCCTCTGGTCCGGAAGTGTCCCAGGTGTTTGCGTCAAGGTGTAGATGTTTGGCATCGTGACTGCCCTCGACGCCCCGCCCTCTCTACCATGAGCAGGACGCCAGAGGCGTCTGGTCCAGCTGCAGGAGGCACCCAGCTGGAAGCTCCTAATGTCACCTCTAGTAAGCAGTTTCCAACCCTCGATGGGCTAAGGCAAACAAGCAAAGATACAGAAGAAATTAACTGGTTAAAAAATAAAATTATGGAATTGGAAGCTAAAATACAAACATTAGTGATGAATCTGCCCGGTGATAGTGAAGTGAATCATGCTAGCGATAGTGATCAAGTAAATTCTCCCAGCACTAGTAGTGATGCGAGTGGTAATGCTGCAGCTGCTGAGGCTACTTCACCTGTCTCTACGGAACGTGAGTGTCAAATCCCCGTGAGGGATGGTGTTAGAGTAGTCATTGATCCCTCACTGGCACCCCAACTAGATCGTCAAGACACCCTTGATTTGCTTAAACATAAAGACTTTAGAACACCAACTCCTACTCAGGTTAAACGCCTCCTAAACAAAAGTACTCAGGACACACGGAACAAAATTACTTATGTTCTCCAATTGTTTTACGAACTTAAATGTTACCTTAATTCCCTTGACACTTAACCATGGCTCATCAAACAAAAACAATTAAGTTTCTTTCTTGGAATATTCGAAGTGTTTATCTTCGGATAAATGACGTAATCTTGTATGCTAAAATGAGAGACGTAGATGTGATCTGTTTACAAGAACCATATACGACCACAACTATCAAGAAGGTCCCACCTAGGATACCTGGGTATATAGCATACAACAACAGTATTGGAACTGGTTTACTAACGTATATTAAGAGTGGATTAATCTGTAAACTAATTAAAAATCATAGGAGTGATAGTATACATTATAAAAAATTCAAATTGCAAACTGCAAATAGCCATTTCCTACTGTATAACATATATGGACGATGTAATGTACTTAAAGCAGACCTGCTACCGAAACCTACAGGTAACACAGCTATGTTATGTATGGGTGACTTTAATGCTCGTCACACTGCTCTTGGTGACGTTCAGTGTAACAATAATGGAAGGGTCTTCTTGAAATACCTTAATGATCATAATATTACTGTGTATGATACTGATAAACAGACTAAGTGGTACACTGGGTATACACCTGCATCAGTGGACCACTTTTACAATGATCTTGTCAGTATCATTACCAGTTATTATGATACCTGGGTTAAATCAAGGAAAAAAAAGAACACTCGTACTTCCTCATGGACAGAGGATCCTATTATTATTGCAGAGCTAAAGTGCTTCAGCTTGCTGACTCTTATAAACGAGACAAAACAGCTGACAATTTACTTGCATTCCTAAATGCCAACAGAGATTTTCGCGAGCTTAAGGGTCAAGTTAAGAACACATATTGGGAACAATTACTACAAGGTATCAATAGAACTACAACATTATCGGAAATGTGGAACAAAATTAAAAACATTACCAAACCTTCAGCCCCAGTTCAGCTTCATAATTCTCCTGCAGAATATTGAGTTTGAGCATGCTGACATGCTCCTAGCTCAATGGTCTAGTGTCTCACAAATTTCTTACCCCCAGGTATACAGCAGCATTTAAATAATACCAACTTTAACAGAAACTTTAATATTAAAATTGCACGTTTCTCACCAGATTTAACGGATCGGTTTGCTATAACCCCTTTTGAATTAACATCAGCATTAGGAAAACCTAAGCAAACTGCCCCTGGTGAGGATGGTATAACTTATAACATCTTGAGCTTACTGAATGATGTCCCTAGCCACCCTCTGCTTGACCTCTATCAAATGAGTCTCTCACAAGGTATCTTGCCAAAGAAATGGACACAAAGTCTCATAGTACCAATTCCTAAACCTAACTCTCAAAAATTCAGACCCATTTCCCTTACATCTTGCATGTGTAAAGTCTTGGAGAGAATTGTTCTCAATCGTGTCATGTTTCAGGTCAAAGAAAAACTGGCCCCAAACCTATATGGGTTCATGCCCAAGTGTAGCACACAAACATGCTTTGCTGAATATTTTGTAAACTCCCAGGATGGGACACAGGCAGCCTTTATTGACCTAAAGTCAGCTTTCGATGTAGCGAATGGCGAAATAATATTAGAGCAACTTGCTGAATTTGGAATCAAAGGTAATCTTCTGAG